CATACATACATACAAACATACATGTACATGTGCATATCCATATATCCATGTATATAAATATGACCATATACATACATGACTTTACATGTGTGCATACAAACATACATATACGTACTTGTATACATATACATACCTAAAACATATATTCAGACGTATACAAACCTGCGCATACATGCATACACATACCTACATACATACAGACATACATACATACATACATACATACATACATACATACATACAGACATACATACTTATATGTATACATACACACACCAAAGCATACGACTTCTTTAGCGTTTGTCACAACGGTGCGCTGAATGCTCAGATTCTCACGCCCCGGTACGAGCCCTAAACCCTAAACCCTAAACCCTACAAACCCTACAAACCCTACAAACCCTAGAAACCCTACAAACCCAAAGCCCTAAGCCCTAAACCCTACAAACCCTACAAACCCTAGAAACCCTACAAACCCAAAGCCCTAAGCCCTGGACCCCGAGCCAGCGGAGAAGAAAGGGTGCCGCGCTGCGACATGGCCTTGGCCAGGGTTGGAGAGTACAAGTACAACGACAACAGTCAAACGCTAAGGCAAATCCTTGCACATCTCATGCAACACAACAGATCCTTGCCTTAGGCTTAAAGTGCTGATGAAGTGAAATTGTCGCCGACCCATGCTGGGGCTCCCCACAACTGGAAGTTGTCGCGTGGGAAGCACCAGCCGTGTTCCACCTTACATGTTCTGTACTGAGCTTCAAAAAAGCGCAGCATTCAAGAGTACAAGGACGGGATGCCAAAGGCGGGGATTGCGTCTGGAAGTCTGACTGGAAGCTCCTCCGTTGAAAGTCTCGCTACCCCCGAGGACTACAGCGCACAGCGGGGGAATTCTAAGGGCTTGAGGCTGAAGTAACTAAAGCTGAGAGCTCAGGGCATAAAGTCAGGCCTACCAGCGGCTTCGCGCGCAAAGCGAAACATGACTCTACCCATAGCCCCCATAGTAGGTCCTTTTTGGGATTACCGAATAGGATCCTAAATACAAGCCCCAAAAAAGAACTACTATGGGGCCTATGGCCTATGGGTAAGCATCTTCATTTGTCCTTCCTAGCAGGCTCCCTTTGCATGTGCCTGGACCTCTGCCAGCGCACGTACGATTTCAGAGTAGCCACATGCCAGCGCCCTGCTCGTGGCCGTTTCGCCATCCGCTCTCCGCTTCTTGTTGACGTCTGCCCTCTGCTCCAGCAGCAAGGAGACCAAGGCGTACTTTCGCAGTTCGCATGCGCGGAGAAGAGGTGCTGTGTCATTGTGGCCGGGCTTCTCCAAATCAGCTCGGGACTCAATCAAAAATTGCACAGTCCGAGGGTGGCCACTTTCCACTGCTTCCAAGAGAGGTGTGGTGCCCTGGGCTACAGCCACGGCATCCAGGTCTGCACGGCCAAGGACCAGCTGTCTTACCATCGTCAAGTCACCCCGCGCCGAGGCACGGAAGAGCGGTGCCCGGCCGTCGTGTGCCTTCTGCGGATCTGCCTTAGCTTCTACCAGAAACTGCACCATATCAGCAATGCCATGCTCCACCGCACGAAGAAGAGGCGTTCGGCCGTCCGTCGTGCTTTCTTTGTTCAGATCGGCACGAGCCTCAAGCAACATGCGTGCAATATCGACCTGTCGATGAGTGACACAGGTTTGCAGAGGCGTCCAACCAGTCTTGCTGTGGCCTCGGTCTGAAGCGGCTCTCGCATCCAGCAGCCGTCGAACCAGATTCGCACGGCCCCGTTCACATGCTCGCAGCAGCGGCGTTGTCCCGTTTTTCGCGCTCTCCTTCTCTAAATCCGACCTGGCTTCGATCAGAAGCCGTATAATCTCAGAATTCTCACAGTCCAGGGCCCGAATGAGAGGCGTCTTCCCATCATCTGTCCGCGCAATGTCCAGGTTGGCCCTGGCTCCAATCAGCAGCTCCACAACCTTCACCTTCAGACCACTTAATCTCAGCTCAAGCTTGCCAGAAAAAGCAGGCAAAACGAGTTTAGTACGAGTAACAGTAGATTGTCGGTTCAGGGTTCTTTTGGCTTTGGTTTAGGGTTTAGGGTTTGAGAGAAGACGTATCCACCTATGTTCAACCGACGAGGCTTCAGCTTTTCTCCCCGTGGCCCAAGACTAGCACAGCACGGTGTCGCATGCCGAAGGTCGAAACCTTCAACAGCATGCAAACAACATCTATCGTCTATCATAGCTGAATCGTTCGACACACATGAAACTCGACTACGCACGCCTGATTGAAAAATGCCGGTAACTGAAGCTCCACTCCCCCATCCCCCGCCCAAAATCACCCCACGCCCCCACAGCTGCGAAGGCGCATGCCCCCGTTCGGTGGCTCGGAGCAGCGGGGTGGAGCCGTCCCGATCCCGAGTCGCATCCAAAGCCGCCCGGCTGGCCACCAGCAACTGCACGCTATCACGGTAGCCGCCCTCGGACGCCTTGGAGGTCACTAAGTGGGTTTAGGGTTTAGAATGTATAAGTTTAGGGGTTTAGGGGTTTAGGGTTTATAGGGTTTAGGGTTTTAAGCTCCGGGAGCTTGGGACATCTTGGGATTCAGGAGGCGGGGTTTCAAACAAATTCCACCGAGGAGCTAGCAGCAAAGGAGTAGAGCCGTCCTTCGTCCGCGCCTGACACAAATTTTAAGGGCCTTAACAATTAGAACAGGGTTTTGGGGCCCATTATTCTATACTTATATAGGGTTTTGGGGCCCATTATACTATACTTACAAAGGGTTTTGGGGCCCATTATACCATACTCAAAGAGGGTTTGGGGGCCCATAATACCATACTCACAAAGGGTTTGGGGGCCCATAATACCATACTTATATATGGGTTTGGGGCCCGTTATACTATACCAAGAATAAGAACCCCCTCCCAAAACAAAATAGTATAGGTAATTATATAAGGCCCCTTATACTACAGACCCATGAGCCGAAAGCACAGTGGCTGAAGGGTCCCCATCAGTTGAGGGGCTTAGGGTTTCGGGTTTGGGGTTTAGGGTTGAGGGGTTTAGGGTTTAGGGGGTTTCGGGTTCAGGGTTCAGGGTTTTAGGGTTTAGGGTTTGGGGGTTTAGGGGTTGAGGGTTGTGGGTTTCAGGGTTTAGGTTTGGGGGTTTAGGGTTTTAGGGTTTAGGGTTTAGGGGTTTAGGGTTTATGCGGGTTGAGGGTTTTACGGTCCAGGGTTTAGGGGTTTAGGGTTGAGGGCTTAGGGTTAGTCTCAGTGCGCTTGAGGTTTCGGATTGTCTGCTTCAGTGCTACTCAACTCAATCTAAGCAGTCAACCCCAGTGATAACTCGATCCTCACTCCTGCCTGAAACCGGATATTCTGTCGACTGCCTCGATCCATCTTGCAACTGCCACAAACTACTACCCCTCTGCAATTGGCATCAGGGCTTGCATGACCCATCATCAACTCCCAAGCGGCCTTAACCCTGAACCCTAAACCCAAAACCCTAAACCCAAAACCCAAAACCCTAAACCCCGCCCTGTTTCGCAGCACCTTGTCCACCTGAGCCCGGCTGTCCAGCAAAAAGCGGGCCATGTCCAGATGACGCTCGGAGAATGCCTTGCCTCAAAAAGTGGACCCTAAACCCTAAACCCTAACCCAAACCCGGGAGAGCGGAGTGGCGCTCTAAAGCAACCTTTTAAGAGTATCCATATGGGTAGTTGTCAAAATTATGGTCCCTTTTTGGGTCCTTATTATAATACGGCACCTATTATTTAGGGTACCCCAAAAGGGACCATAATTTTGACAACTACCCCTACAGCAACCTTTAAAAGTATCCATATAAATAACTGAGGGTTTAGGGTTTATAGGGTTTACAGTAGCCCTTGCAGTCACCCTATGCCACTCCATAGAACTTAAAAATCCATCGCAGCCCTGGGCCCACGGTCCTATACTTGGAGGATCATGGGACTTAGCAATTGGGGCTATAAATAAGGTAACTATAATTAAAACCCCAATTAGGTTTCTTATAACATTACTTACTAAGTCCCATGACCCTCAAAAGCCCCAAAAACCCTAAACCCCCAAACCCTAAACCCTAAACCGAGCTTGAACCCTAAAGCCCCTAAACCCTTACTTACTAAGTCCCATGCAGCTCGGTCGCCCAAAGGGGTCAGCCCGGTGATCCTGCACGTCTCGTCCACATCCACCCCGGCCTCCACCAACAGGCGCACGGTCTCCCAATAGCGGCCGTCCATGGCACGGTGCCTTGCGTTAACGGCTTTTAGGGTTTAGGGGTTTGGGG